CTCTCTCTCTCTCTCCCTCTCCCTGCCTGCCGTACTTACAAACCTGTGCAATGCTATTCTCGTCATTGTGTTGTATATCATGGGCCTTTTCTCGCAGGGTGGCCATTGCTGGTCGCCTGCACCATTCAGTGGCATCATTGGTCTCAATAGGCAGCACCTCAACTCTCCCTCGCCCGAGATCACGGCCATGTTGGGGATTTCCTCTGCGCTGAGCAAATCCCCCACGTCCTATGTTCACATGCTATGTTCTGGTTCACGTGGAACCTGCTCGCCTGGTTCAAAACATGACGATTGGAGGTGCACGGCTGGTCATCAGTTTGCGGCTTGCGTACAAAAATTGTTCCTCACATTGAAACTACAATCGTGGCAAAAGAGCACCTCCCATATGGAGTGCTTCGGCAAATAGCCTCAACGTCTTACGGAGCATGATGGCACACAGCACGAAGCCATCCTCAGTACCATTGACTGTCCTCGTTCGGTGGAACTCTATCTTGTCGGAAACCTGCCCAGCGCTGACACAAGGCTCCCCGCGTGGTACCTGCTTGAAACCACTCCTCTGTGCAAAAGACCTCAAGACGAACCCCCCCCGTCATGGGTTTTGAGGGCTTCCTTGCTGTTACAAGCCTGTACGAGCAAACAGATCATCTGGCTCCACCGATTCCTTGTCTTTCGCAGGTCGCGGCCTCAGATGCTGTGACCAGGGACGCGAGCCCTTGCTCGTAAGACAGATGTCAGACCAGGCTTCTCCGTGTTGAAAGCATGCTATGCAAAGTTCCTGAGATGGGAATGACCATCGTCGCCACTTCAACGCCCTTGAACCACAGACTACAAACCGCCCTCAGCGGTCTCAGGCAAAGAGGCCAGAAGGAAACCTCGATGATACGGGGGAGCAATTTTGGGATAAGGCCTACTGTCAATAAGATCATGTTTCTTTGCCTGGTGAGTGTTGAGATCAAAGCTGTAGGCTTTCAAATCCGAACTATGTCCATTCCAGAAGCGCAAACCCTGCCTGAGCTCTGGACTCGAGGATTCGCGTGCCCACCTGCAGATCGGCACTTAGCCCTCTTAGGCATTTCCCTGACGCAGGGCGGCGGCTATGGGGTCCGAGCATGGGCGCCGCCTTTTGCCAGCATTGGATCCAATTCTCGGCCACAGAACTGCAGCGATCTCATGGACCATCTTCGCTTCTGACCGGCGTCTTGCCATCGTCATGCCCTCTTTGACAAGCTTATCTTGCTTTGTTCTCCCACTCCCGTCGGACTTGGATCGACCAGAAGTTGATCCACTCCGGCTGAGCTTGCAGAACCAGAATCCGGATGCAGCTCACAGGGTTCACGGGAAGACTCGGAGGTGCACTCACCCCCTCCTCCCAGTAGATCACCCGGTCTCGCCGCACAGGAACCAAGTCCAAAAACTTGCTGCAAAACACCGCTTGGCCTTGCGCCGCTTGGCCGCCGGCTACTTGGATCACACCATTCCCAAGGAGGTCCTTTGGATAGAAATCACTCCCGAACTCGAAGAGCAAGGCCTTCACTCTCACCGCGCTGGCAAAAGTTAAGGTGACATGCTGACCCGCTTGGACATGAGTAGCCCACAACCAGCAGCGTTTGGCAGTCTTCTGTTTGGGGCTCGCAGAGAAGTCACAGATGTCCTTCCGCTTCGCAGGTTCGCCGTTTGGGAAATAGAGAAACTTTACATCATAGGTCGGCACGATTGTTAAGTTCTTCGTAAGCTCGCCGGCAGGATTATCCCAAAGTGTCTTGCCAAACTTGGTGTCCTGAAGTATCTGGTATCCATCGCCCAAAGTGCGGAAGACACCGACGTGCTGGAACAAGGAAGTGTGACTTTTGAAGTATTCTATCTTCTTCCCTTGCGTCATGGACAACATCCATTGGTTGATCAGGATATCACATGGCATCTGGTCATAGAATAGGAGAAGGAATTGTGCAAGGCGTGTAAGCTCGTTTGACTGGAAGTATTTCCCGATGAATCCCAGTTGCGAAAAATCGATCATCCTCCATGGGGCATTCTCTTTCGACTTGTAAGTCGGTGGGTAAGACGACGTTACGAAGTCATTTATCTTCGAAACCCAGTTGTGGGCAAAATTTATGTCGTCTTCAAGTTGCAGGTAATAAGGAGCTAGGGAGGCGGCATAATACATCAAGAAGGCATAGTCGATGTTCTGCTTTGCGCGCCATCTCACACGACGTGCATTATCCTTGTAGGTACACGTCGGGGGGCATATGTCCAGCGGCGGATAGAACTCTTCTTTGGCATGCAAAGCGTGAAAGTGACCAGCAGCGATGAGCTCTTTATACTGCTCTTGGAGCGTGCCGGCTGTCTGATTGACCCAAGCGGTGTCGAAGTCAGCAAAATGAGCCACGATGACCACACTGCTGCGTTCCTCTGGAGAAACGTGGGTTTCGCCCTGCAGACCTAGCATGAGGCTCACCGTGTCCAGTACATAATCTTTCTTCCGCTTGACGCTGCCGAATCCGACGGCCATGGAAACCCCGGGGGGTACTGGGTTTCCGAAAATCCGCAACTCTTCTCGCGAGACTGAGTGTAACGAGGACTCCCTACCAAGCTGCCTGCTTGTCGGATCTAAAAGCCTTATGGAGTCCATGCTGGTCGCAACGGTCATCGGTGCCACTTTGGGCACAGGAGCCTGAACGCGAGGAGATGATGCAATCTTTGCTTTCAGGCTCGCGACTTCCTCCTCCAAAGCTTGAACAAGCTTCGACTTTGACTCCAACATGGCTTTCGCCTCCTCAACTTCCTCCTTCCAGCCTGTCGCAGCTGTCTCGGGCGATGGGGGGATTGGCTCCGCAGCCGGCGCGGAGGTGCAAGGCTCCGGGGGCCCCGGGGTCGTGATCTGCATCTGCGCTGTCCAATTCAGCAGCATCAGGTTTTGGACCAAGACGACAGCACCCGCGCAGCAGAACATGCGTCGCACCAACCAGTCACCCAGGCGCTTTGTCGCAACCGGACTGCCTTCGGCCACCATGGCTGGACCATGAGTGCTGCGGCAAAACCAATACTAATTCAGGCTTTGGGGGGCGACAAACTGGGTTGGCTGGGCTTGAGAGGAGCTGCGAAGCTGGCTACTTATGCGGGTGTCTCGGTGAGCCGGTATGTTCTGTGCTTTGCTGATGTGGCTGCAGAAGAAGCTTCGTGTTAAACTGCATCTCAGCCTTGCTCTGTGTTAGGGCTCCCCACGTTACCAGCCTTTCGAAGCCACTGGACTTCTGTCGTTCAGGGAAAACTAAGTGTTGGGCAAGCTCCTGCTTGGAGTGCGTGTAGCTAGACCCAAGAGGGCGAGGAGCCTGCAGCCAGGACAGAAGATCTTTTCGAAGTCTGAGGAAGGTAGGCGCTGCTCAAAGCCAAGCCACGACAAAGGGGTTGACCTCATCGAAGCTTTCGCCTCGGAATCGCAAATAGTGAAGTCCGGTCAGCGGAACTGAATGCTCGAAGTTCTTTGGTGTAGCTGTGGCTCAGACTGTTGATGGGTAGCACCTCGGGCTGCATGCGGCCATTGACCGCATTCGGAATCACCGACTAAGCAAATGAGCTTGATGCAGCTGGTGTCTTTTCACTCTGTGGGGCTTTGTAAACATGTCTCTGTGAGGAGCGGTTGGCCACATCTTGGCTCGTTGCGTCGGTTGGTGGCCGCAGTGCCCCCGCACGCGGATATGCAGGGGCCAGGAGTGAAGCGCTTCCTGCCACCGGCCCAAAGTTCATTCGTGAATTTGGCCGCTGCTCTCGAGTCCTCCTGGTCTCCCGTGACCGGATCCCTCGTTCTCAGAGTCTGACAGCCTTCCAAAAACGGAGAAAGAGTCCTGTATAAAGGACGGGGCACGCTCCAGGCCCGCGGCTCTGGGAGCTGCGGACGTTCACCCGGCTCCGGCTCCAGGAAGCTCGCGAACTCCGCCTCGGGCCTTGGAGGAGGAGACTACTTCGGGCACAGAAGTCGAAGGAACCGCTCAGCTGACCACTCAGAACTTTGCTTTGACAAAGGCCTCACTTTCAGAGAGGAGCGGAAGCCAAGTTGGCGAAGGCACTGCATCTCTGGGCCCTCGTCCCCACGAGTGGTATGAAGGTCAGGTGAAAGCCCTTCAGCTGTTGGCCTTCCAAGCTGTCCGCTATCTTTTTTGCATTGCTATGTCTGCAAATCCAAGCAACGGACCGTCTGAACCGTCTTCCCGAACAACAGAGGCCGTGGGCCTCGGGTCGGTGAGATGCAGCACACCCGCACAAGATCGACGCGGCAGAGTAGCAGAGTTCTGAGATTCGAACTGTGAGGGGGTGCCTCTGGCAACAGGGCGCCGTAGGGTCAACCTGTGCCGCATGAGGACTCCTCACTTCTACGTCAAGACTCCGACTTGGACTTGGGTCCGTGCGTATCGCTGGGCCCCAACTCCTAAGCTGGAGAGTATGCCGCACGGCAGATGTGAGCCTGGCACTGTTTACTCCGAGGCTCCCTTTCATCACCTCAGCTATGAAACTCGCAGCAAAGTCCGTGTATGTCTGCGCGCAGACACCAATTGCTGCTAAGCAGCCTGAAGTGCAGACCATGCTGTAGTTCAGTGTGACTCCAGCAGCGCTCAGCACCTGGCGTGCCCAAGTGTGCGCATCAGATGGCAGATGATGGGAGTGGCAATGAAGACTTGAGATGCTTGAGGTTGGCACGCGCAATCTGAAGCACCAATCCGGCGGCTCGGAAGACCTTCATTTATAGCTCACATGGACACTCATGCCTTGTCAACTGTGGCATGTTGGGAGCTGAGCCGTGGATTGTTCTTTCGGACAGCCAGAATTTCGAAGTGGTCCTTCAAACATTAAACGGGTCGAACGCGAGCATATTCCCGCGAGAGGGGACCCGCCTGTGCCATGATGGATCCCCACAAAGTGCCTGCCCCGAGCAAGAAGCTGCAACAAGCACATCTCTCGCAATTTAGGGCGACTCTCTCTTGTGCGAACCTCCTTTGAGCACTTCATCGCTCAGGATGCGCTCCCAGAGTCCCCCTGGATCCACGCTGTGCCACGGGTCGGAGATCAGGGGGGAGCTTTTCGTAGGGCCAGGGCTCTGGTAGAAGCGGCCGACACGAAGCCATGGGGAGGCCTCCCGACTGCCCTTTCTCTGAAAGAAATGGCTCCCTCTCCATATCCCTTTCTGTTTATTGTGGCCTCCGAGGACGCAGGCTCACAGCCGAAGAGCTGCCTCTCCTCGCTTCGGCATTTTAGGCGGGTGCACCCAGGACCCAAAAGCACCGAAAAGTGTTGAAAGTATCCAGTACGCTCCCAGAAAGCTCGTGGGCCGTGGAATGGCCATGCCCGGACTACGAGGTCTCGGCTCTGCCTTTAGCTGTCGGGGGTTTTCTGAAACACGGAAGCGATGGAACCAAAGGTTGTGATTCATCTAGAGGCCAAAAATCCCGGATTTTCGTAAGGTTTCAAGGCTGAGATCTGAGGGGCCTCCAAGGGAATCACCTGTCGAAGATTTCCGAGGGCTTGGGTCTTACAACGCCAGAAAAGCCCGAAGAAACTAGCTGCCTTCTGCAGTGATGCACTTCATTGGGGGCCAGGCCTTCAACTTTCAACCTTTTCCGACGATCGAACTCTCGAACTCGGAACTCGGCGGACCCTCAGACTTTCGAACTCGGAACGATTGAAGGCTTTTAAAATCAAAAACTTTCATTTTTTCGGACAGAATCGAATTCTCGCACTCTCATAATTTCATGCTCCTGCCATGCAAAGTTGCGAGCTCTCAAACTTTCAACCTCTCAAGCTGTGTAACCCTCCACCTCAGCGGAGCCCTGCAAACTAATCGTGAATCGACACGTCAAACTTTCAGTTCAAATTCTCGAATTTGCAATTACAACTTTCAGTAATTCAAGTCCCTGTAAGCACAAACTTCCCATCCCTCGAATTCGCAGTCTCCGAAGTCTCGAACTCAAACTTTCAAGGTCGGTCGAACTCGGTCAAGGCTAACATTTGGAAACAGGGTTGGAAGCAGCCGCTCGAGCTCGAACTTTTGACAGTTCGACCCTTCGAAAGTTCCGAGCTTTTAAGAGGCTCCAAGTGTGATGCCTTCTTACTACTTTCGCATCTGGCAAGTAGTGACTCCGATGGAACATTCAAGTCTGGGGCGCTTGTGCGCATGTGGATCTCCACCGAAATGTATTCATGGCTGACATACAGTAACAGTAAACTGATAGAACGCTACATCAGTAGCATATCCATCAAAGACGAATGCCCAAAGTTCCGGGATGGGTTTGGGCTCGTCAACACGTTTGGCCAGCCGTTAGGCACGCTATGCCTGATGCACCCGCATTAGCACTCATCCCATGTACAGTGATACCCCAGCACCCACGCACATGCACTCCCCGGGGGTGGTTCCAAATACACCTTGCCTAAAAGCACCCTCCTCTCCCGCCTCCCCTCCGTGCGTGGTTCTTAGCCCTCGGCACTCTTCCACTTCTGTGGCAAGAAGACTATGGCAACCGTTCATGCTCATTAGCAGCATTCCGAGCTCTAACCTCATGCTGAAGCAATCAAAATTGTGCACCACATTGTCGTCACCGTGGGCCTCTACAGTAACTACCAGACACCTCAAATTTTGAGTGGGTGAGTGCCGACCAGCACACCCGGGGACGTCGGAGCTTCACTGCATCCTCCGAGATGGAGCACTCCCAACCACAGAGATCATAAGACCCCTTGCTGCAGACCAGTCTGAACATGTGCAGTCGGCGATCACACACACACACACACACGCACGCACACACATCGCATGTTCTTTTTTGTTTGCGTGTTCCCCCGGAAGCATGGAAACTTAGCCGCTGACTTCGGCAGGCAGCCATTCCCGGACCTCATCTCCGTGAACCTGCCAAGATGCAGACCCCTGCGTCACCGCGGCCAAAGCAGCGGAGCCGCCCCGAGGACGTCCTCGAGAGCGTAGAGCGCGTCCGAGGGCGCCGGCGCCGAGGCCGAGGTGCGCCTCCCGAAACTCCGCTGGCACTGGCTCCCTGGGCTCCCTGGGCTGCGCTTGAGACCCGTGCCATCGGCCGGCGACCGTTCCGTTCGGAGGGTGCTGCAGTTCCTATGGCTGCACACGGGGCTTCAGCCCAACAATCATCCGCACAAGACTGGCTTCTTTTGGGTTCTGTCCTCTTGGCTGTGAAGGACATCGAAGGGCCTCAGAGGAAGCAGACGTACTCTTTCTGGAAGTCAGGTCTCGAGATCTGCACCCTTTCGCTGGTTGCAGCTGCATCGGCTCCTGTGACTTAACAGCCTTACGCTCTTGCAACTTGTGTTTTTTGGCCAATGATGCGTTCCTCCTGCACATCGCAGTCATCACTCGGCCGGATCGTAGGCAGGGCTGCGGCAGCGGGGCTCGGCCCGAGCACCTTCCGAGTCTCGTCACCAGAGCGCGGGGCAACGGGGCCGCCCTGCCGGCCCTGCCTCGAACTGAAAAACAACGAAGACTTTCTTCTGGCCGTCTCCTGACGACACGGGATGAGCCTCAGCATCCGCGCCCTCCGGGGCTCAAAGCCCAGAGGCTCCAGAGACCACATGCTGCAGGCTTCAGGCACTGGCGGCCAGGGACAGCACGTCCCCGTGTTGCAGCGGATGCTCTCCCGAACCTGAGGGAGCAGCCAGCTAAGCCAACGTGCGAAGCGCTGCGAGGCCCCGACTTCTGTCCATGTGCTGCCCGTTCAAGAAGATGGAATTCTGAGACAAGCAAGTGATGCCGAAGGACACCTGAGAGTTTCATGCACTCTGGCTCGGAACTCTGTGTAAGGGGATTGAGAAGACTGGACACTGTACAGTTCAGTTGTGTGGTTCATCCGACCTGGGGTACACCCAGATGCTTGGAAGAGCTCCGCGCCATCACCTCAAAGAAGCAGGGCTGCTGGCGGAATCTGAAGCGTTTCACCTGACTTCGCCACAGCATGAGCCTTTAGGTGCTCGCGAGAGATGGTCGAGTGGTTGAACCTTTCCGCGGCCGCAAGGGTTCGTGCAGACAACTGGGCCATAATCCTGGCCTGTTGGGCACCAGTGTCTCCCAGACCTTCCGACACGCAAAATGAAACAATGAGAAGTCGTGTCTTTTCTGAGCTTCCCGCAGTGTTCGGCTGCGCCGTTCTGCCGAAGATCGACTCCGCGTTGCCGCTCCCCGGCCTTAGCGCCGCTGCCCGAGCAGCTGTTGCAGCATCCCTGGGCCCCTTCGGCCCTGCAAGGCCCCGGCACAGCACGCTGCTCGGAGGTCAGCGTGGCCAGGTCCACTCCCTCAGCATAGATGCACCTGAGAACGACAGAACCCTGGCGAGTCATTGCAAGCACATTGATGTCAAGAAGTGGGTGAGCTCGAAGCCAGAAGTGGTAGGGCGGAACAACCTCAGCACCGACGCAAGACTTGACTAAAAGCCAAAACGCTCGCACGTGCCCATCTGAGTCGGGCAGCACTGGGGTCGAGGACTTCGTGGTTCCCGGATGCATCTCCTGATCAGCCGGAAGGCCCTCAACCCCACCCCGACATACCCCGACCCAGCGTCAACCTTGCCTCCATCCACTCCGAGTGTCGGCCAATCCTTCTCCCTTCAGGTGCAAGTCGGTCACAGTTTCTCAAGCTCTGAGCCGCGAAGAGCCCCCTCTCTCTGGGCACCCTGCGCATCAGAGCGCTCAGGGTTTGGAGGTGCAGGCGCCTAAAAGCAGCAAAGGCTTCAGGTGGTACCCAGCAAAGGGCGACTCCCAGCCCCACACCTTTGGCCTGGGAGCTGGTGCCATTCCAATCCTGACAGACTGACAGCTCGCCGCTTGAAAAAGAAGACGGGGACAGGGACTGATCTGAGCCATGCACCCTGCGGGAGCTTGTGCGGCAGCCGCACCAGCCTAACAAAGGGCGAGGTGGCGAGGCAACTGCTCCGCTCCGCTGCCCTGTGGCCGGCGCTGCCCATTGAAGAGGTGCGGCACCACGACCCTGGGGCGGTGGCCTTGCAGTTCTCGCAAGGACTCCCAACAGGCTTGGGCCTTGAGCCGCGCACGGTGGCGGTGGTGGAGGTCCCGCATTTGGTTGGACCGGCTGCAGCGGTTGCGGGGCCGGCTGCGGGGCCGGCTGCGGGACCGGCTGGGGAGGAAGCTGGCCGAGCTGCCCAAGCTGGCTCTGACCCTGGCAGTTCAAATCGTCTGCAAGGCTCCCGAAAAGCAGCGCGCGTGGCCTCAAGCTCCGGTCTGGCGACACCTTGCACGGACCCACGCGAACCGTCAACAGCACAGCCGGAGACCGGGCATCCGCGCGCCACCCAGCAGGCGTGGCTGGAACTTCCGTCCTGGAACAATAACCGTTTCACTGACAGCCACTCTCTGGCTTCATGCTGCAAAGCACCCGCTACTCCCGGAGCCTCTCTAGTCGAAGGTTTGCGGAAGGAACGTTCAGCTCAATCTCCCCTGAATCATACCTCGCACCGGCGTCATTTAATCTCCAACATCAAATGCTCCGGCTGTGTCCGGCTATTCTGAGAGAACGGCTGGATTTGGAAAGTGCCATTGCCGTTGTCCTTCAGGATCTGTCCACGGAGCCTGCAACACTTCGTCTGTTCAGCTGTTAGCGCACAATGCAGAAGTGCGATTGTTGCCAAGAGGCCAGACTCCACTTCCGCGGTAGCGACTGAGAACGGCCAAGCCAGCCTGGGAATCCCCACATCACCAACCCGGTTTCGGGAAAGGGTCAATGACTAAGGGAAGAGCTGAAAGTACCACTCGCCGCACCTGGGGCTTCTCACGCTCCCGCGACTCTCGTGGTAGCCTCGGTGAGTCAAGAATAAAGGCTTCGGCTTCACACCGAAGAGTCTCCTTGCACTACTAACTACTATCACGAAATAGCCGTGGATGCTTCAGTTGCAGCTCAAGCACCCCTGAGCTTGTTCCTGGTGTGCATTTGTAGCAGCAGAGCCTGCCAGACAGGACATGGGAAGGTGGCGATAGTCAGCCGTGTGTGCAGAATGGATCGCGGGCTCGAGTTGCCTCCATTGGTCGTGGCATCGGTAACAAGTGCCGCCGAAGACTGGCAACAAACAACTGCTGGAACTGCTGGACATCCAGCCAGGGTCGTGCAAATCATCGAGCACAAGAGAGGGCTAGAAATCGCAGAGAGCAGGAGCTACCTGTCAGAAGTACAATCGTCTTTTCTCAGCTTTTGCCCACGTTGGTCTAACAGGATGCCGGCGCCAGCTTGCAGCTGACCCAACCTCGGATGAACATGGCCGTGACTACGTGACTACATGTGCAGACTGCGAAGATAACATGATGGGACCTCTAGCCTTTTGCAATCCTGTCAGACTCCAGCATTCAAGCCCTGGCCATCAAGGCAAATGGACTGTGTATGAGGAGATGCCGTGCCCATCTCACTGCCCGCAGCTTCAGCTGTTGGATCAATACAAGCATGCTCCTTTTTGCATCCTGTACCTTTCTGGTGCTATTCCTCGTGTGTTTGCCAATTCAAATTGGTGCAGGTCCGAAGACCATGCAGGTCGATCAGCGAAGTGATGAAGTCTCTTCAATCTGTGGCATGACAACCGTTGCTATGAGCAAAGCACTCCAATGCCAATGGTCCGACATGAAGGCGAGCAACAGCGACGATGGTAACTCACGCCTACTGCAGGAGAGCCCTGTCTACATTCCAAGCTGCATGCAGTGCGAGTTCTCTCGAACTCATGGACGGAACGTCGCTTCAACATATCCAGGACGCGTCAACAGAACTCTGCTGCACTCTTGCAGGACAGGCTGCAAGGACAGAAGCGGGGAAAAACCAGCTTTGCCTGCATCGCCACATGAACGTGCGCTCCTACGGCTCCTGGAAGTCCAAGCTGCACTCACTGAAAGCAAGGAGCCTGAAGCCTCACAGGCTGTCACTGCTGCGCACAGCACCGATGCTTCCTGGGATGAATCGAGGCGACAGCGACACCACAGGTCCCCACTCCCACTAGCATCCGAGCTTAGTGTCGGGGTCGATGGAGGAATGCCGGAGCTGCAGCAAAAACGAAGTGGCCATCGTCCACTGCCGCTGGCCACGACTGCCACAGGCGCGTGCAGCGGCGGACAGTGCCAGCTCTCCTCATATGCATCACCGGATGTTGGGTGACGAGACTGGGCTGTCTGAAACAATCACGCTTCGCCAGGTTCACAAGTATCCCCCGTCCTGGACGGCATGACTGCAGCTGCATGTCGAATAGTGCCAGCTGCGCCCGCAACCAGCACGCGCACTTGCCCAAGCAGTCGGTCAAAGCGTTGAAGGTTTCTGTCGATACAGACTCCTCCGAAGCTGCGAGCCAGTGAAGGCAAAGCGCATGGCTCCATCGAAAATCGAATTCGCATGCGCTGATGGCCGATGCACAGGTTAGACTCGATCGAAGACTGGGTGAAGGGGTGCCACGATCCTCAGCTACACTTCTTGCCGCTTGTGCCAAACACGAATACAATTAGCAGATGCCAAGGCCGGCACTCGATAGGACCGTAAGCAATGATAGAGGCGCATCGCCTCGAAGGAAACTAGCTCTCGGATTGGTTTGCACCAACTTATCCACGCACTGCGAACGACACTCAACATGTCAATGGTGTCATGGGCAGCTTTGAATGAAGTGGGGAGCAGGGCTCTGCCCCATCTCTGCCATGAGCTCGAGACCACAGGGGATCATGACAATATTGCGGCGGTACCACGGCGTCGCAGCACGGCAGCTTCCCGGAAACTAAACCAAGAAACTGACTGACGTCTTGCCTCACCCCACGCTTCAGTAAGGCATTCAACAAGCCTTGCTTGGGCTTGGGCAACCTGGAGAGTCTGAGCTCCTTCATTCCGTCAGAACACTCTGCAAACCCGGCTTGGCGACACAGGACAGATGAGACGTTTCTGCTGGAAGGTAGTGGGAAAGAGTAAGTAGAAACCCAGGCATAGACACAGATAAATCACCGATCAGAACACAAAAGCCGCTGGCCGCTAAGATACATTCTTTCCTAAAGTCATTCAGCCAAGTGGCCCAGTCCCACACACCAGCTGTGGAGCACGCATTCAGGGCAGCGCCCGGTGCTTCAGGGCCATGGTTGATGCCCCGTCTATCCATAGCATGGAGCATGTGCGCCTTGATTTGCGCGCTCTCAACATTGAAAAGTGTTCTTAAGTTCAGTGCAGTCCGGCTGCCATTCGCTGCCAGCCTGAGACACTCCTGCAAGAAGAGATCGCAGAGGTCCAGGTTACAACATCTGGTCTCAGGCTCCTTGGAAGTCGTTTTGCGGTCCAATCAGGCACTTACTCTCACTAACTACTAACTCCAATCATCTTGTGTCCTTTTGCCTGACAGGAAACGCCTGCAGCACTCCAAAGGAAGAGCTCAGACCATAAAGGACGGCGAGCTCCCACTGGCCACCGCGATCTAAAGCCGGCAGCAGGCTGTTGAAGGCCATCAGGTCAGGTCCTGGAGTCCCCCAAAGGGGAGTTGCTTTTGGTGGCCTAGGGCCTAGGGACCCGCGAGTTTATGTGGACTTCGGAGAGAGCATTCATAATGAAAGTAGTTCAAGCCCGCCGTCTTTCGATTCTTCGAGCTTTGCAGAAGAACTTCCGACCAATCTGTGGTGGAGAGACTCTAAGACTCCGTAAGCTATGCAAGGATAATACCTTGTTTCCTAAGCTGTCAGAGGAACTGGCCAGCTCCTGCGAAGTCTTTGCCGAAGCCAGTGCGGTCACCAACTCTCCGCAGCCGAGCCATCAGGTGAAGCCCAAGCTGCCAAGTCCGACGTCCGCCTGCTGCGAGGCCATAGGGCGCGTTAGAAACAGCCTGAGCTCCCTAAGGGGGAGGCCGGAGGGCCTAAGGGGGCTTTCAGTCCGGGCACCTGAGCCGGGCAAAGCTGAAGCGCCAAAAGCACCGACTGCCGCACTCACCAAAGCGGAATTGAGCCGAAGTCTTGAAGTCTCCAGATCTTTGAGGACACTTAGCAAGCTTTCCAGCTGCTGTCCCTTTGCCAGGGCATAGAGCAGCACCCCGAAAATCGCGATGTCATGCCCAACCGAAGCCTTGCGCAGGAGGTGCAACGTGTGAAGCCACTGCGCAGCTTTGGAGCAAGTTCCGGCAGCGGTAGTGTAGAACTGAGGATCTGCACCAATGGACGGCATGTCTTCCGCTTGCTGGCAAGCAAGCTGCCATGAGGCGCAAGCCGAGAAAGCCCCAACGACCGCCGTGTGCACTTGGATGGCAGGCTGCAGCCTTGATCTCACCAACTCTTCCAGGACAGCACAGGCTTCCGACCAGAGATGTGCGGAAGCGCAGGCTCGTGCTTGAAGGGAGGCTGCATCGTTGATGTCCTTTGCATCAGACTCGATCTTCAGCAAGGACTGCGTGAGCTGCCATGGGCTCTCGGAGAGTGCTGCATGCCGTGCCGCTGCATCGGCCTCTACTCGCACGCCTCTCATCAGCTGAAAGACATTGCTCGCCTTCTGCCACAACGCCATTCGTGTTAGCGAGCTAAGCACTATTGTGAATTCTTTTCGTGACTGCAGCAACCCGGATGCTCGCAGTAGATCGATGGCCCGCAAAGCTTCCTGTCACAGCGAGGAAAGCTTCTCACCATCCATGGTAGAAACCGACATCATTTCTGAAACTTTTTGGGTACTCATACCGGAAGAGCAGAAACACGGAGAGTATCCAGGATACACTACGAGCTACACTGCTACACATCAGCACCTACCAACATCGGTCATTTCTGCATCCAAAGTCGCTCGGTCGACAGTCGCTGGAGCTTGCCGCTTGCCTCGGATTTGTCGCAATCATGCAGCTCCGTCCTTTAATCCTCCATGCTGAACTGCAAGCCAGGTGCGGCGTTTGAGGATGAGCCTGAGCAGCTCGGCTTTGTGTGCAGTCGGCGCGAAATCACATGCAGGCTTGGTCATGCCCCCCGTCCAAGCACCTTTCAACAGATCTTGGGCCAGGAAAGCTGCGGTGCAAGGAGCAACATGAAACCAGCATGGACTTACAGGGTAGGTGCTGCATGTGCCGACACGAGCAGAAGAGCAAGGCGGGCGTGCCAGGTGCAGTTCCCTCAATTCCTCCACCAAAAGCTTGAAGAGCGGCCGCTCCGCTGGAACCCTGCAGAGATTATGTTTTTGTGACATCTGGATCAACGAGAACAGGCCAGAAGGCGTCTTGGAACCACGCGGCTGGATGCAGCGGAAGGCCACCTCAGATCGGCTCAGTCTCTTTCGCCCTATGGCTTCTAGCTGTCTCGTCTTTCCCATCGCTTTTCCTCTTTCTCCGTGCCTGCCTACTCCCGCGGTGCGGGAACAACCAGGAGCTTTTGGCTGTTGTCTCACCCGCCCAACCCTGAGCATTAACGAGCAAGGGATGCTTCCTACCAGCCCTAAGCGTCCTCCCCCCCTTGTTCACGTGCAGCCCGCCCTCGTACACCCAAGCACGCGGCCCCACCTGGGCTTCGTGAACAGCTGCGCACCGGCCGAGCTAATCATCAGAGAATCGGGGATGGGGCCGCCGATGAGCAGGCCAGAGAGATGACAAGGCTGTATGTTGTTCGTAGGGTGCAGCCTGAGTGTGGTTGAAGGGCAACGCCTAGTGGGGACGTTTCAGGCCGAGCCCCGCCAGCTCGGAAACAGGAAACAACAGCTTATACATGAGCAGGCCAAGTGAAACTGATGCAAAATTTTGGGGTCTCAAGGCTGCGAGGGGCGGCCTTTCTTCTCTTCTTTCTTTCTGCTGGGCTTAGGGGTCGTCTGCGCGATCCTCAGGCCATTGGCCGCCCTACCACCCAATGTTTTACTATAAGTGGTTGGCATTGGGGTCTCCTCTGACCGCCCCCTGACGGCTGCACAGCAAAACAAAGGTTGGCTCCGAGCTTCAATTTGCAAGCCCCCACCCGGTACGCCAGGCCCCAACCCACATCCCGGCCTCATTCCCGGGCCCCTATGGCTACCGTCATCGGCGGCTTGCGTTTCTTACAACACACGTGAAGAGCCCTCATGCATGGGATGTTTTCCCCTCGCTTGCTTGCGAGGGGTGTGGGTCCCGAGGAACCGGCCTACCCCCAAAATCCGCGTCTGTCAAGCGGCGAGGCCCCTTCCGGCGGTACCGAATGTGCCTGTAACCCAGTCCCCAAGAACACCCCTTTTGAACCATTACCATGACAGACCTGCAGGCTCCATTCGGGTCATCCGCTGTCACCCCACTAGTCTGAAAGTTGAGGCTCCGATGGCAAGCACGCAACAGTCAAGGGTAGTCCACAAGTACCGGTACTAGTTAGGGGTCATAACCACGCCATCCGCCTCCCCTTTGCTGGTCAGGAGCTCCACTCCCCCAGTTCAGAAGTGAAACGGATCCACTGAGCAACCCAATTACCTGCCTCCCCACCTGATTCCGAACGGAACCTCGTGCAGCACATCAAAACAAACTCGGGAACAACCATAGCAGTCCCCCCCCCCTATGGCCATCTGATCTTCTAGGTCGGGAGAGCTCGGGTTTGTGAAGCTTCGGCGACGTCTCTCCCCGCTCTCACTGCGGTCGCTTGGCTCAGGCGATCTTGCGGGCCGTCGTGTAGGCATCCTCGCGGAAATGGCTGTCTTGTCATCCCCGCTGACGACGATCTCCTCGTCTTCGCCCCAGTGCTCCCGCGTCCAGTTTGTGAAGAATTCCATGGCTTTGCGTGCCTCCGCCAGGACGTCCCCCTCCAGGAACGGCATGAGGAGACGAAGGCATCGTTTGACTTTGTAGGCATGGCTGGCGTTCAGTGGTTCCCGCTCCCCCTGTTTCAGCTAGCTGGGTGAACTTCTGCTGGTCCACGGTGTGGGTAACATCCCCTTGCTTGCTTGCTTGCTTGCTTGCTTGCTTGCTTGGGGGGCATGGGGGGCAGGGGGCAAAGTCCCCTGGCCCGAAGGCCTACCCCATCCCGTTCTGCGTCGGTGCAGCTGAGCGGCCCCTTTCGGGGATGAAGACGGACCTGTTCCTTAACCCGACCCGAAGAAGACCCCTGCTGAGACCGTGACCATGAACGACCGTAACATCCCTCTTTCTTTCGTCAGGGTTAGGGGCCAGGGGTTTCCCCCTAGCATTGGCAGGGTTATGGGAGGGGGAAGTTCCCCCACCCGCGCGCGCTCAGGCGCCCCCGACCGTTGCAGGGGCGTAGAGTGAAATTCATCACGCTCAATAAAGGCCAATATTGCCGTAATGGTAAAGAACACTAACAGAAATACATGAAGGCAGAGTATGCGACAAGGTTACGCGAAGGCAATTTGGCAATGCTGCTGTAGGGATGCCCCCTATTCGGATGGCTTCAGAAATTGCCCTTGGACGGAGATCGCAGTAAAACACTCCAAATGAAAGTAGCGAAACACTCCCAATGAAAGACTGCAGGCTGGCCAAAGCTATCCGTCGGGCTTCGAGCGTGAGTGCAGATTATTGTCAAAAGTTGTCAGATGCATGTCCTGTCGACTCTCCAAGGTAACTAAATGCAGGCCCCACGTCAGAACGTAGGATGAGAAGCACATGGAGTCAGCAGGCTCAATCAGCATCTTGGCAGTCGGCTTCATCATGTCAACAAGCAAAACAAAATGCAAGGAACATGCTCAAATAGCATAGGACCTACTTCAGCCTTGACTGCATTCACTTCTGGCTAATTGGCAGTAGTTAGATGGCATCGGTCAACAAGGGCAGCAAAAAGGAACTCTCTCTCTCTCTCTCTCATACAGGGCCTGGGGGCAAGCCTCCATGATCCTCCATGTGGAGGCTCGCCCCCTGGTTGGTGCTTCGCAGCTTCTGTCGGGTTCACGAATGTCGTGTAGGTTTGCAGCAGCTCTAGACGTCGGCACGTGCTCGGCGTTCACTTCATGCAGAGGGAGATGAACAACTAGGTGTCAAAGGGACCTCTCTTCTTCAACACAATCTCTTTCTTTCTTTCTGCCGGGCTTAGGGGCCGCTGCTGCGACCCTCAGGCCTTCGGCCCGCCCCCCCCACCCACTGTTTTATTTTTTTGAGAGGCTTTGGGGTTAGTAAAGACCGCTGCACAAGAGTACGAAGTCTGCGACAGAACCCAAACAGCAAGCCCCCGACCCTGTACGCTAAGCACCCCCAACCCGCATCCCGGCCTCATCTCCATCTCTCTCTCTCGCTCTCTCTGGCACTCTCCCAGAGCTCTGCGACGAGGCTCCCGCATCCGTCATCGCCTGTGAAACAGACTGTGGGAAGTTGCCGGTCGAATCCAGCATTTGCGACACCTGTGCCGCATCTCAAGGTATTGGCCATGCTTTGAGCAGGACTGGCAGTAAGGGTGAAGTTGTGTTGCACGAAGAATAACTCAGAATCTGTTCATTCCTTCTTGGAGAAAGTGCTGGTTCATCCTGACTGCCCTGGCGCTAGACTATGCATGCCACTTACGGCATCTTGCTACGAATATGTCTTAGATGATGGCAAGCATTCCTTCGACTGCAGGCTCTGACTGCTGGAATGTATTGCCGGAATCTCGTTGTAGGAGCAAATTAGACACACGGCATCTTGCGCTCCCTGGCCATGCTGAGCGGTTGAACTGTTCTGCATGCAATACCTTCGTGCCTCCAGCTTGTCTAGAACTCAGAATACCCTGTTTCGATCTGCCCCCAACGCCCCCCCGCCCCCCCGATGTGTGAACATAAAGTCTTCTTGTTTCGATGATATCGAAATATCACTAAAAACCCTTTCGAGGCTCGCAAACAGCCAGCAGAATGTAAAGAGTGCGGACGGCCTTGGTCTTGCTGCCACGAATGTGGTCCACCAGATAGCTGAACCTTCAACCAGCATGGCCAACCCAAGAGCCAGCAACATCATTGCCGGCAAGCATACCAACGCTACGGGGCTTGCAGTTTTCTCTTTGCTCGCATTTCCATGCAACGGCCATCCAGACACGAGTCGACAAAAGAAGATCATCACAGACCAGGAGGGTTTCTCGCTGCTCACCAGATACGAAGCAATTTCAGGTGGCTGTGCAGCAGGGTCTGCAGGCTGAATCGCTAAGACCGAGCGCAGCTGCCAGGAAATCTTCAACGAAACGTTGCTACCACTGCAAGGGCACGGATGCACAGCACAGTTACACTTCTACAGGCCCCATCTGTTTCGCAAGAATGGAAACACAAGAATCGCAAGAATGCACAAATTATTTGGAACTCCAGCGGCATGACGTGCTCGGACGCTCGATCAGTGGTTGTCTTCTCGACTCCTCTTGACTGGGTAACTTGCTGGGAAATTCTCCGTCAATGTGCTGCAGGAAGCATCCCCGATTCTACAGACGATTGGCAAGGGGCCGCCAGGACGAGTGCGTGATCAAGAGGCCCGGAAACCCGTTGCCGAGATGCAGCCGCAGTGACATGGCGCAGAATGCATCCCTGTGAACAGATTCCTGCTGCAGTAACTTGCTAGATGTAACTATCTCGTGAAGGTATTCCGTCGCAAGTTCAAGTCCTTGCATCTGGGAGGAAAGCTCATGCTTCTCCGGATTCGGATGCCTATGCCGACCTAGCACTTCTTTGAAGCTTCCCGTTTATCGTTGTAGGTTCTGGACCCCACACCAACCCTTTTCTTGACAAATGGGGGGGGGTTTGATTCTTTCACCGTGGGCTCGCAGAACGTCAGAAACCCCACAAGATTTAGCGCTATTCATTACAGATAGCGCTAGCGAAGCCGCGAGACACATTTTCGTCTTGTCCCGCTGCATGAGATCCCAGAAGGCATGCGCCAAGTTCACGCACTCCAGCCGGTGACACATGCCCGAGCAGGCCCTTCCTAGTTCCGGCCTTGTCAGTAAGGAACTCCCTAGTGCTGGGTCCAGGTCCTCGTGTGCGACCGAGGTCTACAGCGGGCCCCTGTGCCCACGGGCTCCGGCTCGCGAAGACATTGGCTGGGCATCAATGACTGTGCCCGGATGCTCAGCAAGCCGATCTAAGTCCTCTGTCTGTGCTCTAGACAAGCTTCTCTTGTAAGCATCAGCTGAACCAGTAAGAGCCCCACAACCAACGATCAACACTCCGAAGCAAAACAGCAGAAAAGCCACGAACCCGATGATCCCGAAGACCTTGACATAGTCAGTTGCTTCCTCTGTCTGCACTCCTGGCCCACATGCGCGAGCTACGCGCTCCCCCGCCACCATTGTAGCAGCCTCGGGAAAGGACCTAGAGCACTCGTCTGAGTAGCCATACCAGCATCCATCTCTCGTGCTGTGCTCCCAAATTGAACACGCAGAATCTGCATAGCAGACATCCCGGCACTGCAGGACTTCTGTCTTGTACGTACCGATTGCGCTCTTCGCTCTGATGTCGGCCTGCTTCATGCCAATCCCACGGCACCAGCGCCCCTTTTCCAAGAGGATGGTCTCTGACACGGTCCCGTGAGAAATGCGTTGACCAGCAAGGACAAGCAAGTCATCAAATCGCTCGCTTTGGCATTCCAGGCCACGGCCAGTGTAGCACTTCCCCAGCTCTTCGCCGGAGTTTTCTCGTGTGTTGCCCCATTGCCACACTTCACAGTCGGCATCGTCACAGCAAATCCTTCGGCAGTCGCCCTGAGAAATTGAGCTACTCTGCAACTGCAATCCCAAGCAAAGGCCCTCCCAGCCGTTTGCCACATCTTGGATAACTTGGCATCTGCCGCACGGAATGGGCATGGTACCAGCGGAACCTGGAACAACAGCTTTCACTTAGAGCCTGGCTCAACCTGCGGAATGGAGCAGCGATTGCGCAAGGATTGCCCCAAGAGACGTTCGCTGCGAGCTTCGAGGCTCGGGCTCTCCCGGAGTGTTTGGCTTGGCCACAGCCGGCCTTGGGCCAAAGCGGGGCCAGAAAGGGCTGAAAGAGAAAGGCAGGCGCTTGGAACCCGACGGGGCCCCAGTGAGCACCTCTAGAACCACCATCCCGAAGCTGTGCACCTGATGCTTGCACTTTGCACACCCCGACAACGGATTCTGCAGGACCTCGCTCCCTTCCGTGATGATGCCCGTCCGGATGTACCTGAATAAAGCGTGCTAAACACTCGTCGCCTGTCACGAAACGGCACAATGTGCCAGGCGGGCTCTGGACATGCATAGCCAACGGTGCCACTGGCCTTCACTGCATGTACTCTCACTAAAGAGACAGATGGACGGATCCGCCACTCCAGCTGGTAGATGGAAGCGGAATGAGAGCCTGTTGCACTTTGTGCTGGGCGCCGGCGGACACCTCTGTCACGTCCGAGGATCCCAGGATGCTGTCATGTGTTGTCCTTTGCTCTGACTCTGAGGAGTGCACACAGGAGAGGCCGAAGTCGGCCATCTTGGCAGTTCCTGGAGGCAAGAGCCAAGACCCCAAGTCACATTGAAATTGAGCCGGCGCGGAGCATCGCGGAGCGCACCGTTCTTGTCTAGGAGGATGTTGGGGCCCTTGATGTCGCGATGGAAAGCCTGGGCTCAGGAGCTCGTCACGGTCTGCCGGCTGTGTCCTAATTGTGTGCCTCAGGCAGGCACCCGCGGGGTCATGTTGTGCAGATGAGACAGGCCGCATGCTGCATCCAGACAAGCACTCAGCCGTGCTCTCCACTCGAACCTGGCGGCTCAGGTCCTGCTGATGGGGGTTGGGGGTTTGGGGACAGGGAGCAGACATCGACTCGGAGTTCCCAAAACCCTCCAGCACAGCTGCACATGTTTACGACGTGAGTGCGTACGCGAACTCTCAGCTCTGAGCTCCAGAACACACGGCCCTGCCTAGTCATAGCATAAGCAGACCACTGGCTGAACGCGACATCCCAATGCCCGAACCCTGCGAGCGATAATCCTGAACCCTTGCCGATTCGCAACCTGCTGCCTTGCAGGAAGAAGTGTCAAAGCAGGCCACGCTTGGCGGCTCGTTGTGATTCCTGCTTCTCTGTATCCGCCGCGTGACCTTTTGCTCGCACAGCAGCTGGCCAAAAGAATGTGAACAGGTGCATACCATGTGCATGCCAGCACCGGTTGAAACACAAAGCAGGAACGGAAGTTGAACGGATTGCAAACAAACGAAAGCAAGATCCCGACAAGTCGTCCGGGATGCATTCCGCAGTTTCTACCCAAGCGGCGGCTTTGCTAAGCGCCGAGCATCGCCGCCAGCCAGGAATTCGTAGATGAGACTCCTCCATCCCCTGCCATGTTCTCGCAATGGCAAGATGCTTGAGAGGTGCTACACGTATCCGGCTGTGAAGACGAAAAGGTGCTTTCCCTGAAGCCCTTTACTCGCGAGTTGCACAAGGCCCCTCAGGAGTCCAGGCGGCAAAAGATGCCAGCATGGAGCGACTGGGATTCTGGGATCAGACACAAATGCCTCTGCACGGCTATTAGCCGTGGGCATTGGAAAACAGCAGCTCTTCTTCCCAAGAAGTGCTACCGGCCGGGCGACAGTCTCCGAAGCGTGCACGGGCACGAGGACCCGCATGCTTTGAAGAACGGCCGATTGGCGAAGCAGCATGCAGCCCCAGCCCGCCTTCTGAATGCCCCTCCGTAACCCTAGCGGCAGACATGCGAATGCATTGGGCAGCCCGGTAAGCAGTCGTTGTCTATGACTCGTTACCATTGCATCTCTACACCCCGTCTGCCAGAAGGCAGTGAAACAGCGTGTAACTTGGTGCAGGGCACCGTGAAAGAAAACTAGTTCGCCCCAGCCGAACACGCAAAACCCGCTACACAGAACTACCTTGTTGAGTTCGCTGCCACCAGCGCCTCTTCAAGCGCAGTCGCGAAGGCAAGTGCGATTCAGCTAGGTCAAAGTTTGCAATTTCACTGAAGCCGTCATGAGAGGTCACCTGATGCAAAAGCGATGCAGTGTTGAGGCAAGGAGGTCTGCATTCACTGAGCTGGGCACGGTGGGTAAACTTCGGCCGGCGGAGGCGGAGGAAGCTCGATATCCCCCGCAGGAGGAGGCATGTACGGGCTGCTGTATGAGTTTTGGGATGCCAATGGCTGGCAAGGTCCCGCATAGCCCGGATGGCCCGGCCTGCCCAGAGTATCAGGTTTCTGGCCCTCAAGGACCCTCCTTGGACTCTGAGTTCCCAGCGATGTAAATGGCTTGCCACAGCAGAGACAGACATCCGCTCCTCGGACAGCGTCGGACTGAGGGGGCAATCATGTCTGCATGTAACAGGGCAACCTCTTCTCTTTCAAGATGTCTGGAATTTAAAAGTCCTGTGAATCAGGCAGGAGCATGCTTTGAATTACCCACCACGTGCTGGTAAACGCAGCGACGCGGAGTGCTGAACAAAAGCATACTCGGCATAGTCTTCGGAAGGCTTTCCTTTGCTGGTGCTGTAGAGCCCAAGGTAGCTGCCAGTGTACCCGTAGCTCAGCAAAAGATCTGCAGCCATCTCTGCGCACGATGTAAAGCTGGCCCCATCATCCAGGGAGTAGCTGAAGCTGTATGCGTGGTTGCAGGATTCGATCCTGAATGTGATGCCGCCCTGGTAGGCGGCAAGATCATCGCCATAAAGAGCACGCTCTTCCTTTCCTCGCTCCTTTAGGGTGACGCACACCCTGTGCTTCCCTCCCACGAGCTGAACGACGAAGTTGACGTAGTTGTCATCCTTCTGAAAAACACTTGTGCCAGCTTCCACACCATCTGTGACTGGCTTGAAGGTCATCTTGCTGAGGAACGTAAACTCACTTTGCCGCTGTCGTATTCCCATTAAGCTACAAGACGCACGCTCCTCAATCACCTGTGGCTGGGCGTTCAGCCGCAAACACCCAGGGCTAAGGACGTACATTCCTTCTCTCGGAACACGACGAAAGTTCCACTCTGGGTGCAGAGATGGCGATTCGAACGTGTCACGAAAGGTGTTGCAAGCATGCAGCTGCATCGATTTTAAGGGAAGAGCCGATTGACGCTCGACACGGCCGGTATCCGGTGCACAGACAGGCCACAGCCTCTCCCCGACAGGTCCTAAAGAGTGCCACTCCATTGGCTCTCGCTCCCAGCGAACCGGTACCAGGTGTGTCTCCCGGCCCATGTTTGATCGCTTCATGCCCTGTTTACCCTCCTCCGCTCGTACCCCCAAACACACCATGAACCATCGCCCGTCTGGTAGCTGGAACAGATCACCATGTCCTGTGCTATGGACCCAGTTATCATAAGAGAGGTGGCGCGAGGTCAAGATCGGGTTCCGGTCGTTTGGGTAGAAAGGGCCGGTGACCTTGTCACCTTGGCTTGGTACGGTGGGGTACCGAATGCAAAGAACACACACAGCAACAAACCAAGGCATAGACAAGAAACTGATAGCAATGACTTCTGCATGATTCACGCCGGTGCCGCCTTCAGCCGCCATTAGGTAGTAAGAGCCTTCGTGCTTGTACATGTGCGGCCCCTCCACGAAAACACCACCATGGAGGGCTCCCCGCCACAAGTGGTGTCGCTCTCCGACCAACTTGAAGGCCCCCAAGTCTAGCTCCTGAAGTGTCGCAAAAAGCAATGATTCAATTCAACAGGCAAAGCATATAGGCCGAGAAAGCAGATGGGCGCTTCCAGAAACTGAGCATCACGCATGGCAGTAGAGTTCTCCTTGGTAACTGCTTCGAGGTGTCTTTCGGCAACATGTCTGTCCCAGTGCGGCCTGGGGCACCTTCGCCTGGATAGTTTGGCTTGTCGGGTGCCGCAGTCCCCACATACCAGGCTTTACCATCATCATCGAAGAAGATGTCCGGATCTATACCTGGGGCACCTTCGATGACATGGGGATCTGACCAGGGACCATGAATGTCCGATGCCGTGATGATGAAGTTTGTGCAGGTTCCCTCGTCAGTTCCTGGTGGACGATACACGCAAGTGGTGATAATGTAGAATGTGCCATCCTTGTATCGGAGAGATGGGGCCTGAATGCCATCCTCAGACTTCACGTCAACGAGGTTCACTGCTGAACTAACCTGCTCTTTCCTGTGTAGGCCATAGCCCACCCATCTCCAGTTTACCAAGTCCGTGCTCTCGTGGATCGGCAGACCCGGGAAGTATTCGAAAGAAGAGTTGCAGATGTAGTAGACATCGCCAACCCTGCAAATTGACGGATCTGGGAAGCCACCGGGAATAATGGGATTCAAGAAGTTGTCCGGATCTTCAAATTTCACGACCATGGCGCAGTCAACGCGAGTAGCTCAAAGCTGACATGGCTGCAGTGTGCCCGGGGAAACTTAAACGCCAGCCTACGACTCTCCGGCGACGAGACTGTGCTTTTGCTCAGGGCTCGGCGCAGCATTTGAGTGAAGGACTCAAACTCAATCTGCTGCATGCACATCTGGTACGCGTGCCAGTTGGAGTCCTTGCTGAGGGTGCCATAATTCGCTCACAAGGGTCTACCTGCGGCCTGCAATGAGACATCTCCTGGTTGGCCTTCATCCACTCCAAGCCAGCCAGGAAATCTTCCTGTCAAGACGTATAGTCGCAATTCCACAAAATGGAGTAGCAAGTGCTGTCCTCAGAACCTCCATAAAGTGAGAAGAAGCGTGACATGTGCAGGTCCTTAGATCGGCTTGCGCGTTCGCGGGCTGTGCTGTGATAAGAGAGACGACTTCACACAATGATGCACTCCGAGTTGCTATCAGCTTGGCCTGGGATATGTAGCAGCTTGACTGTGTGGTGCGAAGCCAGAGGCTTGTGATCGGAACAGTGCAAATCATGTCCTTTATGTCAAGTCTCAAATTCCATATATGCCATTCTTTGCTCCAACGTGTAGTCATCAGATGTGCGCGGCTGCACGAAGCACGCACGATATTTGACCTGCATGATCCCGGACATAGAAGCACATCTCTTTTCAGTCCAAAGTGAGACCCAGTCTTTCGTGGCATCTTTATGTGCCTCCCATGATTTAGACCACACACGCACAAGGACAAATGGGCCTGGAAGTCGCGAATGGACTCCTTATTGTCGCAGGCTGGAGCTCGCTAGTCAACTGAAAGTTCTGCACGAAAAGGTGGTGAAACACAATCATCCACAAAGACTTTAAGGGAGTCTTCTTTGCAGACGAGCATCAAGAATCTGCGGGTTCTGACGCAAATGCTGCAGAAATCGGTTTGGCAGCGTATCGCTCATGTCGGCGGCACCAAACTCAAGTGAGATGAATAACTGGCATATTAAGCGTGTGTAGTGCGCTTTCTTCAGAAAAGCTTCCATCAATACTCCGCCCAGCTTCCTTCCAACTTTGCGGTGCTCTTTTCTTGCGAACAAACCTTCCGGACTACTCTTGCATGTTCCTGTAGCCCGGATCAGACCCGGAGATTCAGGCAGTTCTGAGTGCTTTCGCGGAGATGCAGGATCTTTTCAGTGCGACATCCAGCCGCCGGATCTATGTCATCTATGTACATGAAACGGATATGTGGAAACTGAGCGTAGGAGCATGGACAAGAAGGCTGCCTTCAGCATCCTGTTCCCTTGTTTTACAGGGTGCTTGACCTGAAAGCCTCAATCGCCTTGGACCACACTGCTCGGCCTAGAAGAAAGCAGCCACATTGACGCCAGTCACCACGACAGTCAGTGCAATTCCAAAAGCAACCAGCAAGACGTCTGACCAAAGACACTCCTTCACAAGGATATAGTGGGCAACTGCAGGAAAAACAAAAGCCAGCGGCACACCGCAAAGAGCGCCAATGAGGCTTACGAAGTTATCCAGCTTGCTCGCGCCCAGGACAGCCACTCCGGCAAGGAGCACCACGACAAGTGCCCGAAAAGCAGTTTTCGCAGCTTTGCGCATCAATGGAGGATCAGATACAGGTGTGAAGAAAAAGGTTTCCAATAGCCGAGTTGCTGGCAGGAACTGCAGCGGAAAGGAGCACCAAACTTGCAGCATAAATGCAAAGCGGACAAGAAACACTGCAATAGACTGCGGGAAGTTCAGCAGGATGAGATTCGAAACATCACTGCCAAATGCCAGGTAACCAAGCACTCCAATGGCGCAAACGACTGCAAGTGTTCCAGTTTGGACCAGGACCTGAATTGCGCAGCATGGGTACAGGACAGCACGCACGCCCTGCACATGAGGATGCCTCACCTACGAACAGCTGACAGCGCCTGCTTTTCCAGTCACGGGGCATAGATCCACGGGAAATCTTCGGGCTTCTTGCTGGCGTCGTAAGTTGGCAAGATGAGGCCGATGCCCTCGAACATGAAGCAGGCCTGGCCAACACAGACGAGCAGCTGGCTCCAGTTCATCAGCGTGAGCTCCGGGGACTCTTCCACCACTGCCTGGACCTCCAGCGTCCCAACGATGAGGAGCCCCAAAATCACCAGCGCCGTCCCTGCCAAGCTTAGGGGCCAAAGGGAGGCCACCTTTCGCACGGCTACCAAGGGCACCATAAAGACGGTCATGCCGACAATCAGGAGCTCCAAGGGCGCCTTCGGGAGAAGTGTGGTCTGCAGAAGCTTGGAGGCGACGATGAAGTAGGTGCAGCAGATTCCCAGCTGCAAGAGGACGATGAAGAGGTTGGAAGCAGCACGGCCCTTTGGCCCGAGCGCATTGTTCATCAAGTCACCGTAACCTGCATGACTCTCTGTCGTTAAGCGAACCTTGAGCAGCAAGAGCGCACACCAGATTGAAGCGAAGCCGATTAATGGCACGACGATGGAGGCAAGTATAAGACCTCGCTCGCTTCAAACCGCGCTGATGATCTACTGTTGCCATGTTTTTTTTTGCTGGTGATTCACGTGTGTCCGTCCCCCCGTCCCCCCGCCTCCATGCATCCAGCCACGAGGCATGTACAGGATGGCACAGCCGCAGTTGCCCTTGAAGATCAAGAAGGCGATGCTCAGATTACTTGCGCCATGCCTAATAGGCTGAGCATCTTCGTCATCACTGAGATTCAGCCCGTAAACGTGACTTTCAACCTGGAAGTTGGTTGCAGCCAGTGTGTCAATCAATCGCTGACTCCACGTTTGGGGCAGATCCTCCGCTTGCAGGCCCTGATTTATGGCTTGCGCTTGCAGAAACCCCCGCCGGAATCCTCCCGGCTCTCGCAGTCTGCGGGAGGCAGCCAACTCTGGGCTCATGCTCTCACGGTTCTCCGTGCCACTCCAGGAGTTGTTTCTCGGAAGTCCAGGCGATCGCTCCTGCAGAAGCTGCTTCTGCAAGTCTGCCACATCTGACCTCTCGCGCTGGGAGCTGGATGCAGCTGCTGTGCTCCCTGTCGCCGCAGGCGCTGCAGCCTCCGAGGCCACTGCAGCACCCATTTCGGGCATGCTCAAAGAGATAAACACAAGAAAGCATGCAGCATAGCTAGTGTCCTTGAGCCAACAGATACACCGGAAGCTGTTGGCACCAGCGCTTGAGGCAGACAAACAGTGAGGAGCGACGTTGCGGCATGTCGAGCGAAGCCCATGAGGATCACGAGGTTGGGATGCCGGAATCTGGAGAGAACCTGTCAGCTTTCATGAATGTCTCAAACATGGGCTGGAGAAGTAGTCCGAGGGCTCGAAACCAGGAGGAGGCCTTTATCTCTTCCTCGAAGCCTGCTTCCTCTGGCACTTGCAAGACCTCTGATCGCGAAATCGGTCGCTGAACAGGGAATGCTGCACGCCAATGCTCCTGCCTTAATGGCAACCTCTGTCCCGTCCTTCATTGTTCCACGGTACACCTGGTGCAACCATCTAGCCAGCTGTGTCCGAAACAATCATGAGGACGAGGGCCCATGCACTACCGAAGGTGCCAGAGCCAAGCAGGCAGCTCGGATCAAAGTTTCTTGTTGAAGCCTGCTAGCTAGCACACCCACGGCTGACATCGAAATCAAGTGGGCAACACCGCCTTGATCTCTTCCTCGAAGTACTCATTGCTGGCCTGATGCAGGAACCGACCTCTCACCACCGCTTGCTATGCCTGATCTTGCAACTCCTGCCTGGTTGAGGTGCGAGTCTGTTTTCGGCTTGCTTCCTGGCGCAGGCTTGCAACTTGCCTCTACGTGCTGCTCAACATCCCCGCGGCCTTCGATGTAGTCCAGGGCTGGGTCGAGCCAGCTTGACTTCCACCTTGCGCGTCCCAAGAAAGCTTGCAAGTCCACTCGGGAGTGTACCAACAAAGCTCCAGACTGCTCCAGCAATCCAGGAATCCCGAAGCCAGACATGGCAACATCGCATCGAAAAGCTCGTTAGCCGTTAGTCTGCTCTGTCGAGGCATCAAGGCTTTCCCCGATGGCCTAGCTTAGAAGTTGGGCTCGGGATGCATGCCATTCAGCCTGCTGTGTCAGCTGTGGTCATTTAATTTGCTCTTCACAATAGGTGCCAAATGCTATCAGCATGGTAGTTTCCACAGGTTGTCAAGGTTGAGTGGAAACCAGAACTCCCACGGAGCAAGATTTTTGCCGCGTCGTGCTCTCTGAGTCACAAGCTTCTTGCAAGCTGCAGCTAGTTCAGGGCTGCAAGAGTCCTGTGCAAACGATGCATGCAAAACAAGGTGAAGGTGAAGCCAAAGAGGGAAGGTTGAGAATGCAGCATTGTCCTGAGGAAGGCATCCTCACATCCTTCGGCTGCTGCCCATTCCTGAGCAGACAGGCCCGCATCGTCTTTCTTCCCGGGGTCAGCCTGAGTGCAGCGAAACGGTTCTTCACTCGGAGAATGATGGGAACAGATGCCGAATCATTCCGGTACACAGCTACCACGAACTCACACACAAAGTCTGCCAAGTTCTCGACTCCTGCTACAAGCAGCGCCTTCCATCAAGCTGAGCCAGCATGCATTGCAAGTGATAGGTACGAGACTAACATGGAGAAACAAATGCTTTCTTGACACATCTACTCAGCCCCTCGACTGACAGACGTGCTGATGATCTGAGGGTTCTGATCGAACGTTTCCGCACGGCCTGACAAGGAGTACCTGCATACCTTCCCAGGGATCATGGAGTTGCAACTGGCAGTGCTGATGCTTCGCGTTCTTCCTCACCTCTTGCCTTCTGTCCACCCCTCCCACAACAAACCGTCACCGAAAGTAGCACTAGCAGCAAAAAAACAAAAGTTGGCATGGCAGGCACCTGTTCTAAGCGCGACGAATCCGTTGCAAGCCAGCATCAGAGGCTCACTCCATAGAGGTCCGAAACCCATTCCTGTTACAACTGCTTCTGGCTATAGCTTCGCCCGCGAACCACCACGTACACAACAGGATGTGGCAACACCTTGCGGCGACGTTTAGGGTTTAGGAGTTTAGGAGAACTTCTTGTTGCCTCCGTCTTCCTTCCAGTCGCTTCCTTCATATTCGCAACACCACCATCTTCTGCAGACGCAAAGCAGGATGCACATATTTATACACGTAAATGAAAGGGAAGCACTGAGCAGCATGCTGGCCTGAATACTCGGCATGTCCAAAGGCACAGTCAGGAATTCGAGCACAAATTCACAGTTCGGTGCAAGGCACTGCCTACATTCGGGTCGTCACAGGGAAGCCGAGACATGGATAGTCTTGGTTAGCTTCGCAGCCCCATGGCCCAAGTCAAGAAACAAATTTGCATCTGAATACTCATCCACTTGTCTCAGTACACAAGGATCTCGAGGCGCCTTCGTAGCGATCTCCTCCCCACGGCCTGGAGAAAGTCTCAAAAGAGCATCCCAAACGGAGAATTTGGGCGGATGTCGGCCTGCAGCCCAGCTGAGGGGTGTTCGCCTGCTCAGCCGGCACAGCAGGGATGGCAAAGAAGTTGCCTTGAGCCCGCTGCCCTGCGTTGTCTGCGGCATCTGGCTGGGCCCGGGCCTAGCATTGAGCCGAAACCTCTCACAAGCTCAGAAGAGTTCGAAGTTCCGGTCCGGTCGCGGCCTGCAGAAGCAGCTCCAGAACCCTCTCCTGACCTCGAGACTCGTAAGAAAAGAAGCTGCCAGCAATAAAAAAAAAAAAGCTGGAGCACCTTCGGAAGCTGCCCACACCTTGCACACCGGAAAACAAAACTGAGAAGAACTGCAATGACACTCCCCCCCCCCAGCCCTGGGCTCAGAGGCTCTGAGATGCTCTGAGATTGGGGCCAGGGGAGTGGCGCCCTCAATGTCCCGGATTTCCAGATCCGCACGTGCCGCGAGCAGGAGTGGCAGGACCCGGGTGCACCCAGAGCTTGCAGCCCAAATCAGCGCAGTGGCTCCATCCTCGTCAACGGCATTCACGTCCGCATTGGCCGACAGGAGGAGATTGACGGCTTGAGGTTGATTGGCACGAGATGCCATCATCAGCGGGCGAAGCCCGTCTGTGCTCACAGATTCTAAGTCCGCCCTTGCATCTAGAAGCTCTCGAATGACCTCCTTTCGGCCACGCATACTTGCCAAGGAGAAGGGCGTCTGGTCATTTGCGTCCGTTTCTTCCAAAGATGCCCGAGCATCCAGAAGAATCCTTACAACCGCTGAATGGCCACTCCCAGCTGCGAGGCAAAGTGCAGAGTTGCCCTCGGCATCTGCTGAGGAGGGTGAGAGTCCCTCGGCGAGCAGTAGCTTCACAGCAGCCTCGTGGCCAACGTGGCATGCTCTCACCAGGGCCACGGTGTCGTCGAAGCTTCGGCCTTCGGCCGCCATGAAGCAACCAGCCCCTGTTGTGATAATAGCTGCTTCATGTGAGACTTGCTTTTTCGAGCACCCAACAAAGGCTACATTCTGCCAGAAATGACAACGGAGTGCCGAAGTGGGCTTTGCAGAGTGCTTCTTGCAGTTGGCGTGCTCGAGCCACCAGATTTCGTGCGTTCGCACATGTACTCGCGATTGCGCTTCCGGATCTCTTGCAGCGAGGCTCTGGCACATGACTGTACGATTTATGATGTCAGCCGATGTCAGCCCTTCTGCCAGGAGCGCCCCATGACATTGATGGAGCACTCGAGCACTGTCTACGATGGCGTTTTGCCTACAATGCTCACAGCCAGCATTTGTATCGGCCTGCAAGACTTCAAAGGTGCGATCCGACTGCGGGCTGATCTGAGGCTGCGGCTTGGTCGGCACGTCATCCTGCGTCTCTACTTTGGAGAGTCGCACCTAGGTCCCACAACCTCTGCACGCAGCTCCCCGACATGAAGCCGGCAAGCCGCCGCCACGTCGTAGCCGCTGGTAATTTTCCCAAACACCGGATGTTTTGATGTACCTTCAGGACGCAAGCGAGCATTGTGCCCCAAGCAAGCTACAAGCGGGTGCATCGCCTGGAGAGAACCAGTCGAGAAAGCTGTTGTCTGCCACGTTGATGAAGAACTGAGAGCCGCCTGCGAACTGAGCTGGGGTGGCCATGGCGACGAGTGATGGCGGGGACGGGCCTGTGTTCGGCTGGCCACAGTTTGCCATGGCAAGTGTCCCGGGTGCATTGCTGTCTTTGGAGATCAGCTCATCCTGGCAGGCACCCGCTGACGTGCATCTCGTTGGGGTTGGGAGCTCCTGAATGTTGCCGCCATTGTAGCGCCTTTCAGCTGCCCCGGTCTGGAGGTTTGGGAAACTCCTGCTAGCTTTGTGCGGCTGCTGACACCGGAAACAATCGCTGCTTTACCGCAGCTGACAGCTCCAACCAAAAGGCAGTCCCGTCACGCGGACCGCCACTTCCAGCTCCTGCATTGGGTCAGGCCAGGGGCATATTCTTGCTGGGTGGAGGCTGGGGCGCATGCTTTTGCAGTGCGGATCCTGTCGGTGCCCGGACATGTCAGTATCGAAAAGCCAGGCTGAGTATGGCAGGGTCAGTCCCTGGAGAAGGGGCAGCCAAACCTCGGGCTTTCGATGTACGACATGGGCACAGGCACCGAGCACGTTTGCGGGACTTGATCTGGGCATCCTGCTGGGCCATGAAGTCAGGGATAACTCGGTGGAAGTGGAGCCCGTTGAAAAATCCAGACCGTGCCAAGTCCTCAAGTCGTGAAGCACAGAGGCCGCAAGCACCCACTCCGCTTGGTGTCGCGCAATGAAGTTTGAAGCGGTCACCGGTACCTCGTGACAGCAAGGCCCTCCTGAGGTGTCCAGCACTTGGGTTCAAGCAGGGTTCAAGCAGGCCAGCAAGGTGAGCCCTAGTTAAGTGATCGGACAGTGCTTTTGATTTTCGGCCTGCGCCGTCGAAGTCGGAGGCGAGTTTCTCCTCAGGAGTTCACCTCTCGAGCTTGTCCCGCAGGCCCACGGGTGCGAGCGCACTGGTCTGTACCCAATGCCCCTCGTGGTCACGCTCCCGGGGTCTGCAGAGGCACGGCAACTAAATCGGAATTCCGGCCCATCGCTAGGCCCAGCGCGTGCTTTCGGAAAAGCAGAGCAGGGGCCACAAGAGCAGAAACCACCCCCCCCCTTGAAGAGGTGCCGCCGCTGGACATTAGTCAAGCAGCCTGGCCTTGCAAGCCGAGCTTTCTAAGTTTGCGAAAGAAGTATGGCTCAACTCCAGCCTGTCGACACGGCGACCGTGGAGTTTGTGGATGATCCTAGGTGGAGGCGATCAATGCCGCGATCAACAAACTTCAATAGACCGCACGAATGCAAAGGCGGCCCTCCATCTCTGCCAAGGAACCACCAAGTGCGCCAAGGGCTTCTGCTTCGGCGAAACGCCCTGCAACAGGATGGCCACTGCCGATGAGACAAACGACACCACTTTAGCCCTTTCGACATCCCCGTCCTGCAGAGTCTCCGGCCCCGATTTGGGCAGCAGCTGCGGCAGCGGTTGTCGCTGCGGCAATGGCAGTGCTTGCTGAACGCGGCGCGAAAGAGACGTGTCATCCAAGCCAAAGACGGACTTCCACAGGCCTTGGCTTGTTGCTGCTGGGTAAGCCTTGCAAACAAGAGGCCTCTGAACTGCCGGGTCGCGCTCTTTCGCTGGATCATGGCTGACACTTTGAAGGCTGTTGGACGGCTCATCCTCGTCGATGACGGAAGTCAGCAGGGTCAGCTCTTCTGCGTTCAGGTCTTCCATGTTCCAGTCCAAGTCATCCTTAGTGTACACTCTCCGCACATACTCAGCAGCCGGTTCTCGGGAACTAAATTTTTAATGAGGCTGACTTCAGCTTTGCGACGGTGTTTTTGCGGTTGCGGCGTGTCAGGGCAGGAAGCCTCACTGGCGGCAGAAGCTCGACCCGCGTCTTGACCGGCAGCGGCATCACCGGCGGCGTGCGTTTCGCCTTCTTCTGCGACTTCGACTGCTTCGCCGGCTTCGCCTTGGGCTTGTCGACTGAGGCGTCCATGCCCGGCTCCGCCTCTTCGGCCTCGTCACGCTCCTGCCTATCTGGAGATGGAGCCCGAATGCGGGAGCCCGGGCCCAGTACTTGCGACGGCGCAGTCGAAACTGGAATCCCAGACACAGAGCCGTGCAACTCTGCTTCTTCCACCTCCGCGCCATGCAAACGAAATTCCAGCTCTATCTTGCTTCTGTTCCGGAAGCTGTCAGCACCCTCCTCCAACTGCACGGCAGTCTGTTGCACAGCTGCTGAAAGCTTCTGGAACTCCTCCTCCTCCTCCTCCGCCTCCGCCTTCTCCACCTCCTCCTCTGCGTCCTGCTGCTCCTTCTGCTCCTGCTCCTCTAGCCCTTCCTGCTTTTCGTGTTTCTCCTGCTCTGCCTCCTGCTCCTCCTGCTCCTCCTGCTCCTCCTGCCCCTCCTGCTCCTCCTGCTCCTCCTGCTCCTGCTCCCTCCTGCCCGATAAAAGCAGATCCTGATCACTGAGACTGCCTGCAGCGGGTCGGACGCCGTCGTGTGCTATGTCCCCCATCTCTTCAAGCTTGTCAAGCGCCCCTCCATCGCAATCTTCGGAAGCTGCAGACTCCTCGCATTCTTCCTTGTCGGGGGATCAAAGCTGGAATTGCGCTGCGAACTTGGAAAGTTGGACAGCATTCGAGCAAGCCAAAACTTCAAAGGCAGTTCGCACTTTGTCGCTTCAGTCATATTTCTGGTTGCACGGTACTGGCCCTACAAGCTCCGGCTAACCCTTGCCTTGCTTGTGGCTTCCACCTCCGCCTCGTCTGCCGCAAGAAGGCCACGCATGTATTTCCTGCCAAGCCGAGGAAGCCGAGCAAGCACTTTGATGCCGGGCTCTCTTAAACTGGTCCGAGTCCGAGCTGCTCATCCAATCGTGCCAAGCTATATTCGATCAACTTGTTTGCACCCTGGGCATAGCACAGGATTCCTGTTTCCGTACTTGCGATGCACACCATGGCATGTTGCAGTCCGGGCACGTCACAGAATGTAGACAATATGCTTTTCGTCTCCTCAAACTGAACCTTCTTCTGTGGTGACCGCGACGGGCTCCGGGCCTGTTTCCAGAAGTGCCGGCAAGCAGCTGGCCGAGATCGGTTGAGTTCGGAAAAGTGGGTGGCCCCTAGCCGCTTCCCGACCCGTTCTGTTGCTTACCAGCATCTTTCTCTGCCGAACCTGTTCGGTGTTCGCTTGAGTTTCGTGGGCTAGGTTATCCCTCAAAGTGCTTCCTCCCTTGCAGACAAACAGGGACTGGTCCCGACCACGGTCATTCAAGAACAAGCTCTTGCAAAGGAGAAAAGCTGCTGCGGGAAAGACCTGAGCGAGTGCATCTCTCATCGCATCAATGTCACCTTGGAAGGCTCTTGCTTCTTTGCCATTGGGTTAGGCTTCCGGTTCTCATGTTCTCCAAAGCAACCAGGCCACACTGCAGATCTTGTATCAAGGCTTTGGCACGTGCCTTGCTTTCTTCAATCTTCTCAGCGACCCTGCAAGCAAGGTGCAAGGAGAATGGCTCCGGAAAGTGAGGACGAGAAATAGCACTGCAGTCACTCAGTCATTTACGATCAAGGACGAAGATGTTGCAGCTTTGGGCAAGTCACGCACAGCCTCAAATGCACGGCCATGCACACCGTCATGTCACCTTCACATCAACATTGGCACATTGCTCCCAGCCTGAAAACCTCCACATCGACGTCTAAGAGGGCCCTCAACTCGCTGAGCATGCCTTCGCAGACTAGGACAGGAAGCACCCCACATATCCCCCCCTCCCCGGGCGCGGGGGGTTGGATGAGGAGGTATCCAGCACTTGCGAAAGAAGTCTGTCATGACGCCTACCTCGTGGAGGTACCGACATCCCACATCCTCCGACAGGATCCTAGCCGGTCCTAGTCCGGCGAGCGACAAATGGGAGGTACTCGCGCGAAAGCATCCTTCATGATGCCCACGAGTAACCCGCGGCGAGGTATTTTGCGAAAGAAGATGCAACATCACACATCCTGTCGGTGACAGGTACCTAACCCGCGGAGGTACCTGACGCGCGGGCTGGAGTACATGATGGTGAAGACATGAAACGCGGGTCTAAGACGAAATATTCTTTCACACCCAGGCTCGCCAGACGAGCTTCTTGGTTCTATCGGCAAGACTTGGTACATTCAGTTCGCGGGCTCTTTGTTGTCCGAAGGCTCGATAAAATCGATGCGTTAGGGAACTCTTGGTGCTAGGGTGAAAGTGGAATCGCGCAGCTTCCGGCCGCAATGTCAAGCTGGGGCTTGACTGTGCCCCCTGGCCGCTGAACTCCCGATTGTTGCTACCTTTGCTCTTTTCCAGCAGACAGGACTGCTAGGTTCTCTTGGTGTTCCTGCCACATGTTGGGTACGGCAAGGGGGAACAGAAGCAACGGCGACACAACCTGCAACTCTCGCATATACATGACCCGTCACAGCAATGAGGGTCGTGCCTGTGCAGCTGTCGATGGTGTCATGGGTCTGCTGCAGGAGCTCATCCGCCTGAGCTCGAATAGTATTGGAGCTTTGGCAGCTTTGTTTGTAGAAACGAGCTAGAGCCTCGGAGTCTTCTGCCATCTCCCGGAGCCTTGCTACCTGTTTTCTCAGGAAACTCGGATCTCGCCAACTTGGCCACTGCCAGTCCACGAGGGGGGAAAGAGGCCTGTCGAATCGCCTCATCAAGCAGATCCGAGGAAGTCAAGGCACCGGACTTCCAGGACATGTCCTCATCTTGCCGAGTCTACAATTACGCACAAAAAAAGAGGCCAGTTGCCAAGAAATGCCTGGGGCTCCCAACAATTGACTCCAGACCTTGCTGGGCTTCGTCTTGCAGGAGAATGCGCTCTTGCTTCTTCTCTTCCGCATTCTCATGTAGAGCCGTCCTCACGAACACCCCGACGTCACAGTCCCTACAAACCAGAGACCATGGCTTCTCGCCGAAGGGCACGAAGCCCTGCTGATGTCCATGGGATTTGGCTCCTCTGGTGACTGCAAATGCAGGCAGAGCTCATGGCCTTATAGATCTTATAGGCTGCAGCGACAGCGGACATCGATGCAGGTTTTGCACCACTTCCTGCTACAACGGAGCGGACCATGAGCATCATCTTCTCGGGTTGCTGAGCAGTCTGCCGCTGCCTTGGCAGCAAGATCCGTCATGAAATCTTGCTGAACACGTTGGGAAGTGTTCTGGCCGGATGCAGAAAAGTCCTGGCGTGGCCAAAAATGGTTCGTCTGGCCGCAACGCCGATTCCTCCTGGAGACACGGGAACAAGGAGCCAACGAAGCTTGGAACTCGGAAAACTGCTACAGCTGCGTCCTGAACCAGGTTCCTTGAGAATCTGCGGGACCAGCTTCGTAATTGAAGCTTTGCCTGGAGCGGCCGCCTGCTTGAGGCGTTGCCACTTGGAGCCGGCGTCTGACCTGGAAGCCCGGCCCTGCCCTGCCCTGCCCTGCCCTTCGCTGGAAAACTCCCATGGAAGCCAGGGCGCGGCTGCTCGGGCACGATGGTTCGAAGCCTTGCGAGTTTCGTGCCCGGGCCGGGCCAAAGTGGCTTCCCTGCCCGCTTCCAGTTCAGGCCGGGCAGCGAGAGTGTTCGGCCCTGGGCCTGGGCCGTCGCCGACAGGAACCCATGCTTGCCTCAGACGCACACAGGGGCCTGCCTCGCGCCCCCCGGCGCACACACCAATGACAGATCCAAACTCAATTGAGTCTCTGGTGGTTCGCATCGCCGACCTGGGCGATGTCGAGTCGCCTGTCGTGAGATCTTCGACTTCTGCTGCCTCGCTAGGGCAACTGGACTCACAGGTCCACCTATCAACGACCGTGAGGCAGCCCTGGACATGCTCTCACCTGCACAGGTAAAATCACGAGAATACAAGCTCTGCGCTAACGACGGTT